CTGTGCTCCTCCGTACGACGTCGCTTTTTCACCTGAAAACACAAACGTGAGCTAGCCAGCGGGTGTGTGCCGGAAACCTCTCTGATGCCTAAGTCAGTAAGCTTGACAAATAGACAAGAAGCTCTATGTAAAAAGCAAAGTTATGTGTTGTATTCTGTTACCTCCTCCAAGGTGATGTTTGTGAGCTTTTATAGGTTTCGAGTGGCACAATCCTAGTAGAACTCATACTCCTCCATGCAGAGTCCTCCTAAGATTCATACTCCTGAAAGATAATGCTTATCCTTCAACACCACCCTCACTGCTTAAACCAAGTGAGATGGTTTGTACCATGGCCGAACTATAGCATGACCGAAATAAACTTGACTATGCAGAGCCACTGAGTAGGCCGAATTACCTTAGTTCGGTTCTGCTTATACTCCTCCTTATCTCGGTCCTCTCTTGCTCAACCCATGGCACGGTTGGACCAAACTTAACAAAATTACGACCGGTATAACTCCTAGGTCGGTCTAACTTAAAGGTACTGCCAGACCGACCTATTCAGGATACATCATGACCGGACTAACTCAGACCAGCCTAGCTCCAACTTGCCCGGACCAAAGTAACTTTACTATTCTTGGGCCGAAGTAACTTTACCTCTCTTGGCCGGAGTAACTTTTACATTTCTTGGGCCGAAGTAGCTTTTACATTTCTATTGGGCCTTTTTGCCTAGTCCGTCGTACTTTGGGCCACAAAGTCCATCTCACAGCTCGGCCCAATTTTTACCAAAAATTACCCTCTCAATAAAGAGGAGGGTGCAAAAAGTATCACAGTAAAACCTCAAGATCCCAACCAGGTTGGTACCAAGAAGCCCACCAAATCATCTGTTAGCACTAACTCCAAACTCTGAGTTGGTGAGTAACCAACATACAGAGCAAAACAGGGAAAACACCAAAACAAAAATCGAAAAAATTGCAAAAACACCCTACCAACCAAAACAAAACACCCCTTTCAAGCTATAATCTTCGCCCCAGTAAACAACAACAGCAGCAAAAGATCATCAATATTAGCAGCACAGCAGCAATGGCAAAAACCCTCACTTCAACCCAGAACCAACCAAATACCAATATACACAAATTCACCCAGTAAACAAACAGCAGCAATAGCAACTCTGCAGCAGTGGCAAAGGCCCACACTTCAAACCATAACCAACCAATAACTAATACTCCTGAAGCAGCACATCAAACTAAAGACGCCACCAATACCAATGCACACAACTCTTAGCCCGACAACCAAACTAAAGACGCCATTCCGGTTAGTCAAAGACCAAGTAACCGTACTGAGTGAACCTTGCTTGTCTTTAAGATTGCCGAGAACATATTACGCCGTGCTAACCTTAAACACAAGACCCAGTTCGGTTGTTCGGCTCAGTCACATGGCCAACTTCGCCTTGTCATAACCGGCTAACTGTTGTCCGGTCTTCTAAATATAGCATGGTCCCAAAGCCTTTTCAGCTTAGAATAACACGGAGAGCAAAACAGTCAATTTAGCTTGGCTCATTTGGACAGTCCAAACCCAAGGTCCGTGTATACTTAGCTCAGCTTGTTGCACGGTGCAAACACAAGGCCTATGTAAACTTAGCTCGGCTCATTTGGACAGTCCAAAACCAAGATCCGCGCAAACTTAGCTCGGCCATTTGCACTGCGCAGCTTACCCTCTCGGTGAGCCATTTGAAAATGGTTCATTTTTTTTTTATCGGCAAAAAAATTTTATTGATGGAAAAAACACTTTACATCAATAAAGAGGAGCTTGGAGCTATAAGAAGCTCCAACCTCCTAGTTGGAGAGAAACCAACACACAAAGTAAAACAAGAAAACCAAAGAAATTAAAACCAGCAATCAGCAGCCCTTCCAGCAGCCCTTCAATCAATCCAAGCCCCATTTTTGTTTAATCCAACACAGCAGCAAAAAAAAAAAAAAAATTGAAAATGGTTCATGTTAGTAGATTTCCATTAAAATTGGTGTGTTTCACTTATCCCACTTGACTTGATCTGCTATATTTTTTGCAAATTCGATTTTTGATAAATTTTGTAAATCTGCAATTTTTCTATAATTAATTATATTTTGATTTCTAGTTTTTGGTTTTACATAAACACACAACATACACAGAAGATTGCTCTAACAATTCATGTAAGTAGATATTTTCTTGCTCACTTATCTTTTTGGAATGTCATATTTAATCTCATTTCTCATTTCATTTTTCACTCAAAATAGTGGGACTCACAAAAATAAATACACATAGGATCTATTCAGTTGTGTTTAGGAATGAGAAAATAAGATAAGAAATGAAAGGAAAATGATATTTATACAGAAATTTCATACAAAATTTAACATATAATTATAAACCATAATGATAGACATTTTTATTTGTAATAAATGAATATAAATGTGACACATCAATCTATATAGAATTTATATATAAATTTGATTTAGATAGTATTACTCAAAATGAAATAATATGAAGATTTGAAAAGTAATAAAGCTTATCCACAAATTCCCAACACGCACTGAAATTTTAGATTTTGCAGGAAGGGCACCGTCAAACAAATGGTCCACACTCATCTCATTCATTTCCGTGCAACAATGTTGGATCATTAGGAAGTTGTTTGGTTCTCACGCTATAGTTGACATTTCACCATCATATTTGTGAGAGAATAAGACAGAGAGACTAAGAAGAAAAAAAAAAAATAGTTGACATTTTTGCATGAGAGAGAGATTAAGAAGAAAAGAAAAATAGTTGACATTTTTGCATGGAAAATCATTAAGGGAAATTTATTGGAAAGCTCTATTTTGGAAACTTCTGTATTATTTGGTCTTATGTGTTAAATGGTTGATTGAAGAGTCCTTATTAGGTGGTGTGTGACCAGTAAGTTCTTTTTTTAAATGTGGATGGGTATTGGTTAGATAGGTATACTCTCACAAGTTAATTGAGGAATTTATTTTATTTTATTTTATTTTTTGAATGTGTGATAGATATGGTGTGTTAATGTGACACTCCAACGATGGGACACTCTAAAAAAATTAAAAAGTCTTTAGTGTACTTTTCCCAAATGTGACGACGTGACAGGTATGATGTGACACTCTAAAATTTTTATTCATCCTCAGTGTATTTTTTTCAAATGTGACAACGTGCTAGATAAGATATTATATTCCAAAAAAAATTAAAACTCCTTAGTATACTTTTTTTAAATGTGACAATGTTGCGGATATGTTGTGACACTCTAAAAAAATTTAAAACTCTTTAATGTATTTTTCCTAAACGTGACATGCGACACTTCAACGCGACGGACCCAAATTTGATTGAATTACTGTGTGTCTTCACGTCACGTGTCCAAAAATAATTAGTAAGGAATTCACGGCCCACACTGCGCGTGTTAAAAAAATAAAACTTTAAAAAACTATTAGTGTGCTTTTCAAAAAATTGACACACAAACACCCCACCACCTTTCTCATACATAACCACGGCACATATTCTCCAATTATATTAATAATGGCTAAACAGTCAACAAATAATTTAAGAGACCACTCAATCACCAAAAAAATATTTAAGACCTTATGGATTACAAGTTTACAAAACGGGATTTACTGGTCAATTCTCCTATCATTAATTACTCATACAGAGACCATTATTTATTTATTTATTTAAAGTACTCATACTGTCATGATCGTAGACAAATATTATGATAAATCATTAATTATCCAGAAGTTTAAGTTGTTAGATCTAAGGCAAATAATGTATATCAAATTTAATACTCCCCCAGTTGTTAGAGTTCTGATACTATATTGGATCATCACTGTTTCAAAAGTTTAAGTATCTAAAAAAAATTAATTTAATAATATATATCAACTTGCATATTCAGCAATAATTTTGTTGAAGAAGAATTATTGTTGAACATGAAAGTTCGACAATATATTTCAGAGATCTGATGATTAGTTTGTTAGAATGCTGAAAAAATAATAACCCATTGTACATAAACTGAAACATTCATGTATTCATATTTAATTTTGAATATATATGTCATGTTCCTAAATGGGGAAAAAAATGGTAGCATAACAATTTTAGTCACCAATTACCCACAGTTGAAAATTAATCTTGAATTTTGATAATCAATATTAATAATAGTTTCATGCATTTTCTTTAATTTATATTATTATCTCATTGTGCAATATTCAATCCCAAGTTAATAAAGTTTACAAAAAAAAAAAAAAAAAAAAAAACCCAAAATCAACACCCATGGTTGAAAATTAATTTTGATTTTTGATAATTTAAAAAATTATGTGTTAATTTTAGAAATTTCTACACACACATGACGTAAATGAATTGATTCACATAACTAATTCAAGAAAGAGAGCCCTTATTGATCATTACAACTTTTCATAGATTACATGAAAGACAATTTTGTTGAAGCCACAAACCCTTTGAAAGAGCTATAATGGAATTATCAACATGAGTTAGCCAGTAGCCCACTTGATTTTTTTATTTTTTATTATACAATAAATTAAATTAAGAAACACAAAATTAACAAATAAAGGTAGTTCATGCCTCTTTTTAAAGTCAGAAAAGTCGAAAAATTCAAAATAATAGTATTTAGGAAAAACTATTAAGAAAAACCTCAACATTTGAGCCTTGTCAATTTAAATCTTGAGTTTTAAATTTTATCAATTTAAATCATAATATTTTGATTTATTTTTTATCTAAATTATTTATCTATTTCTGTTAAGTAAAAATTGACGGAAAAAAAGTGGTTAGAAAATGTCTAAAATACTCTTTCTTATTAAGTTTAATAGTTAAAATACTATTTTTCCATCAATTTTACTTAATAAAAATAATCAAATAGTTTAGATTGAAATTTTTTTTAAAAAAAATTAATATTTAAATTAACAAAAATAAACTCAAGAATTTATTTAATTATAAGACTCAAATCTTAATATTATTTATTTTTTGTAGTTTTTTTTTTTTTTTTTTCAAATATTTTGCTTTTGGGGTGGCTTTTGGTTCTTGTGGAGTGGTGTTTCGCCTTCAACCTCAAGCAAGTTCTTCATCACCACATCCGAAGCACTTCTTAAGAGATCTGACCAATCCCTGCATATACCCATCATATTATCAATAGAAAGTCTATTGTTTTAGAAAAACAAAATCAGAAAGTGTCCAAAGTATCAAATCAATGGTGTATATATTTAATCAAGTTGTTGTAGATTCATAGTATAAATAAATCTTAGTCTTTGATGAAATTTTTTTGGTAATTTTCTGTTTATTTTTTCTGAATTTGTAGACCTAATGTATTATCAAACACCATATATGTGTTCAACATCAATATACAAAGACTATATAGAGAGAGAGAGAGAGAGTTATTTGTTTACATTGAAACCTATTAATTTAAAATAAAGTGCTTATTTAAATGATACTTAATTATAGAAATATTATCGCCAGGTCATTTGGTTAACAAATTTTGTATAAATTATTTATTTATTTTGGTAAGAATAGCTCCATATATAAAACTAATTACATATTCATAATAATATAAATAGGTACATAAATTAGGGATTTAAGTAGCGGCATCAGGAGATGACTCAATATTGGTCCCAATCTACCAACATCAGAACAATCAAACAATATGTATCGTGAGTCAAATGACATGATCACCATTTTTGTATTTAATTATCAATTGTGAAAAAGAGTTTTATAATAGCAAAATCAGCCGCATGGAATTTGCTTTGGGTCATGTGTCAACTTAATTGAAATACGTTGCTTAGGATGAAATTTTTAACTTGAGCCTTGTTATCTGAATGTACTCCCAATTTTCGAGTTAAATAACATTTTATTTTCTCGATAAAAAAAAAAGGGAGGATTCTCTCCGGCCTAAATTTTGGATGGGAAGGTACTGTTTAGATCTATGAGATCCACCACAAGTCTCATTTCGATAATTTAAATTATTTATTTTGTTGGGCACTTTGCGTATTTCTTTCAAAAAAATTAGGTTGATTCAGTAACTGTAATTTATTTAATTTATTACGTTTGTCACTAAAAAAAAGTTTTTTTTTTTAAAAAAAACACAATTGTTGTCTATTTTTTTAAGTAAAAAATTGAACATGTTATAATTATTAGATTAACCTAATTTTTTGTATAAATGAAATACACAAAATACAAAATAAAATAAATGATTCGAATCATTAAAATGAAATCCGTGATAGGCTTCACAGATCCCAAGAACACTCTCCAATCTAAAATCTAAAAGAAAAGGTCAGCGTCGGTTGTAAACTAGCCGTGTTCAGCTATGAATCAAGTAATGCATCAACTATGAATCGATACGTATTACAAACTGAACAATATGCATATCATTTTCATTTCTACTATATACCGAGATATATCAATATTTAAAACCAAGGTATGAATGCATGCAAAATTTCAAAAGTCATGGGTGATGAAATGGTGCTCAGGGGAGTTAAATATGGAGTTGTTGCTGTCAACAATGGTCTTTTACTAATATGCTAATTGTTGAACTGATATTTTGTGTTTGTGATGATGGTGAATTTTTGTTTTGTGAGGATTTGGGAGTTGGTGGTTAAGCATGCTTGCTGCTATTCAGCTCGGAGGTGTAGTAGTGGTGAAGTTGGGTTTTGTGAGGTTGACTCTTTTGCTGATGTATTTTGTTTTCTATTCTTGGTTTGCTTGGGGTGTTTTCTGGTTGGCTCCTCACCAACTTTGATGGTGTGCTAGTAAATGATTGAGCGGTCTTATCGGTGCCAATCTGATTGGGATTGATTTGGCTTGCTATGATACTTTTTGCATCTATCCACTTTTCCTTTATTATTGTATTTATCTTTCTTTTCATCAATAAAGATTTTTCTCTTTGCTGATAAAAAAAAAAAAAAATTTCAAAAGTCATTGTAATGTGCTACAAAGAAAAGTATGTGCTTTCTCACCCATTTGATGAGTCGAACGTGAGTCCAACTGTGTGCTTAGCCTCCTCCACAGCCCACCTAAACCTAACCAACTCCATGGCCTGACGGCTTCCATCATCGACAACCCTAAGCTCCGACGGTTTTACGTCCACAAAAATCGGTATCACCTTCTTCTTACACTCCATAATCATGGCCAACTCATGCAGACAATAGAATGATTCGCAGTAACGGGGCGAAAAAATTGCGATCCCAACCTTACAATCACGTATCGCCATGTCGATGCTCTCCATTAACTTGTCGCCAGGCTTTAGTGTCTTGCTGTCCAAAAATGGCCTCAGTTTTAGCCTAGCAAGTTGATCATACAACAACCCTGCAACATTCTTGTTCGTGTCAGCTCGCCTGTGGTTGATGAAAACGTCGGTGCGTGGCAGTTTTTTGGCGCGGATTTGGGTCAGGTACCGGAGAATTTGCGGGTATGGTAATGAACGTTGCATGGCTTCTTGAACAAGGCTTGAAAACCCTAATATTTGTATGAATGTTGTTGTGGGTTTTTAAGGTTGCTTAAATTTTTAGTTAAAAAAATCATTAATTAGCAATTTTGAACGATTTCATAAATGAAAAAGAATATTTTATGTGATAATTACAAAAATAAATAAATAAAGTAGTTATTGAGTGAGAAGGGTATTTTAGAAAAAATCAAAATGCAACTGCATTTGTCCTAATTGAAGAATAGATGTTAATAATGTACAACTAAAAAGGTGTTTTAGAAAGATACTTAAAAATTGACTTTTTTATTTTTTATAAAAATATGTAAAAAATTGTAAAAAATGATGTGATTCAAAATTGATTAAAAATTGAGAAGTAAAAAAGCCTAAGAGAGGTAAGTATGTTACGTTTGTTTGTAGTTTGGAGAATGTTTCGATATGTGTGTATTTATAGATGATTTGATTAAAGGAAACATTCAATTTTATTTTCACGCAAAAGAATTCTACATTTCAAGTGAGACTTGTATTTGCTTTGAAAGGACAGACAATAAGAGTAAAATGTTTTGAACATTTTGACTTGGCCTTTGTGTTTTAATCCTTCAAACACGTTTTATGGTTTTATTTTTTTAAAATTTAGGACCAATTATATTTATTTCTCTTGTATTTAAAAAATAATACAATTAATTTCACAATTTTAATATAATTAGGCTAATATTTCTTGGTTATGTTTGATTGCTTGCATTAAATATAAGGATGTGGAGGTGATATATGCAATGAGTAATGTCAGATTTCATTAAAAAATATCATATCAAGAAAAATTTCATGAAACTTTTAAAAATAATTTAATGTAATAGGTAACAAAATAAGAAAAACAAGTTATATCTTAATATAAGTATGTTTTAATTTTGCAATTTGGGTTTATAAATAGTATAAATTTAGTTTTGTCTTATAATGTTCTATGTTTAATACGTTGTAACTTATGGGGTGTTTGGAAAGATGCTTTTTGATTAAAGTAGTCAAAAAAGAAAAAATATGTTAAAATAGTCAATAAAAAGAAATATTACATTCAAATCATAATCATTTTTTTTTCTCACAACTATCAAATTAAGGCCTCCTTTGGGAAGTTGGGCTATTTTAGCCTGGCTAAAAAAGTTGTATTTAGGAAAATAGTTAATTTTTTTTTATAATTGATTTGATGATTGTAAGAGAAAAAATGAAATAGTTATCAGTTGGATGTGATATTTTACCTTATTGACTATTTCAGTCTATTTTGTTTTTATTAACTATTTTAATCCAAATAGCCCTTCTCAAACAGGGTCCAACTAGTATTTAAAAAAAAAAAATGAAGAAGAAGAAGAAGAGCCAACTATCATCCCGAACATAATTTTTTTAGTTAGGCTAATATAGTCAAAAAAATCAAAAACCAACTAAAATAACCAAATTCCTAAACGAGTCTTTAGTATATTGAGTCAATAAAAAGAAATATTACATTCAAATCATAATCATTTTTTTTTCTCACAACTATCAAATTAAGGCCTCCTTTGGGAAGTTGGGCTATTTTAGCCTGGCTAAAAAAGTTGTATTTAGGAAAATAGTTAATTTTTTTTTATAATTGATTTGATGATTGTAAGAGAAAAAATGAAATGGTTATCAGTTGGATGTGATATTTTACCTTATTGACTATTTCAATCTATTTTGTTTTTATTAACTATTTTAATCCAAATAGCCCTTCTCAAACAGGGTCCAACTAGTATTTAAAAAAAAAAAATGAAGAAGAAGAAGAAGAGCCAACTACCATCCCGAACATAATTTTTTTAGTTAGGCTAATATAGTCAAAAAAATCAAAAACCAACTAAAATAACCCAATTCAAAAACGAGTCTTTAGTGTATGTGATTGCATAACGTAAATAAAACACTACAAGCTAATCTAAGGATAAAGAAGAATTTTTTTATTTTTTATTTATTATATTTCTTTCATGAAACGTAACATTACTCATATGTAATACTTCAAGATTTAGGATAGGATATAATATGTTGGGTAAATTACACTTTGTCCCTTTTATGTTTGATTTATTTCTCACTTTGGCCCTTAAAGTTCTCTTCTTTTTTTTTCTTCTTTTTTTTTTCACTTTAACCATTTATGTTTCAAGTTTTTTCCAGTTTATTCTTAAAACTAATTTTTGTTAAAAATTAGACAGAAAATGATACATTAACCATCACATGGTATAAAAATATTTTATTATATATAATTCATACATTTATCACAAACTCAAACCTCAATATAATAATATATTTTTTACATTATGTGACAATTACTATGACATTTTCTGTCTAATTTAGGACAAAAGTTAACTTTATGAGTAAATTGGAAAAATTTTGAAACATAAAAGGTCAAAGTAAAAAAATAAATAAATAAATAAAAGTCCAAGTGAGAATGTGACTAAATATAAAGAGGGTAAAGTATAATTTACCTTAATATGTTTGAATATGAAATGTATTATATACTGTGGATTATGGTTGGATATAAATATGAGGTAAAAATAGGGTAATTATTTTTTTCAGTTAATTGAGATTGCTAAATCTAATCAAGTGATTGCAAATCCCCAGTTTTGAGGGATACCCGGATATGATATACAAACTTCTTATGGCGCGGTTTGAGAATCTAGGTTTGGGATTAAAATAGGGTTAAACACTAAAAAAAAGTCAAATAGTCTCAAATAATAACTTAAGGAAAAATTTTATTTTTATACACTTTTTTATCTCTGTGTACATAATTTTTCAATGCATATCCTTATGAAATTGATTTTATATTCTTATTCTCAATCCACATCTCACATGTTCTAATTATATCCTAAACTAACATCCTTGTATATACACCTCTTAAACTATTTGTTCTACAGAAAATCAATGGTGTAAACCTATTTTTTATTCCACCCACCTTGAAAACAAAGCAACATCTTTCATAAGAAATCCCTCTGCAAATTGCTCTATGAATCTTCTGATTATACAACAAACTACCTCCTTTGATTTCCAGTTACATCATCAAACAGATTCCTTCAATCAACAATCTAGTCAACATTGAAAAAGTCATTAATTGCCATCGACTTGTATCAACACAACATCATTTTGTATTGAACTCCATTGAAGACGTACAACTCCATCTATCTCTTATTTTTCATCAACTCTCATTTTTTTCTGGAAGCAATTTGATTTTGCTTATTCGGTACTAGTTATTTGAATGAAAAAGGTTTGTTCGGTTTTTAACTTCCGAAACATGTAAAAAAATTCGGAACTTGGTTTCCGAAATAAATTCTTAAATTAAAAAGTTGAGTTCCAAATAGAATTAATAATTTCGACAGTTGAATTTTCTGTCTAATTTAGGACAAAAGTTAACTTTATGAGTAAATTGGAAAAATTTTGAAACATAAAAGGTCAAAGTAAAAAAATAAAAAATAAAATTAAAAGTCCAAGTGAGAATGTGACTAAATATAAAGAAGGTAAAGTATAATTTACCCTAATATGTTTAAATATGAAATGTATTATATACTGTGGATTATAGTTGGATATAAATATGAGGTAAAAATAGAGTAATTATTTTTTTCAGTTAATTGAGATTGCTAAATCTAATCAAGTGATTGCAAATCCCCAGTTTTGAGGGATACCCGGATATGATATACAAACTTCTTATGGCGCCGTTTGAGAATCTAGGTTTGGGATTAAAACAGGGTTAAATACTAAAAAAGTCAAATAATCTCAAATAGTAACTTAAGGAAAAATTCTATTTTTATATATTTTTTTATCTCTGTGTACATAATTTTTCGATGCACATCTTATGAAATTGATTTTATATTCTTGTTCTCAATCCACATCTCACATGTTCTAATTATATCCTAAACTAACATCCTTGTATATACACCTCTTAAACTATTTGTTCTACAGAAAATCAATGGTGTAAACCTATTTTTTATTCCACCCACCTTGAAAACGCATAGCAACAATTAATGGTGTGTGAGTTTTTGATAAATACCTGAAAGGTTAGTGCTCTCAATGTTTATTTGCAGATTATAGTTTTGGGTGTTGTTCATCAACAGTCACTTGCATTAATTTGTGTACCGAAACTTTGATTTTCAACCATCTCTTCTTGTTCTTTTGATGCCCCCGTTCACTGGCCCAAAATACATCAAGATTCAATTTTTTTATTCTTTTTTATTTATATATATATATATATGGCACTATACTAGTAAAAAGGTTTCACAAGACTTGTGACGCTCCAAAATTTAAGGATATCATAATAAGATTTAGAACTTAAAATTTAATTTTCTTAATTAAGAACTCTTACTTAATGTTGCCACCAAGTTTACCAAAATCTATTAACTAACATCCCATAAATTAAAAGTTCTTAAGTTACAACTCCAAATAAACTTAAAACTTAGTCTTAACATAAAAAAATAAAAATAAAAAACACAAATATAAAAAAATAAAACCAGGAAAATGGTTCATGAAATCTTGGGCATTCTTCAAGCTAACCAAGGTTGAATGTCGCCTTGCAAGGCCTCGGCGCTTCCTTCGGTTCTTCGATACCTGGCATAAAACGCCAGGGCAATGGGAATGTCAATGAGCGACGAGCATAATAAGATATTACAATCCGAAGATACCCACCCCGATAATAATACTCACAAATAATAAATATTGTATAATAACAGTATAACAAACAGCATTTAACAAACATAACCGGAATGCTATTGGTTAAACTATTAACAATAGACAATAAAAACAATGGCAAGCGGAAGCAGTATTTCATAATAAGGAAAAATGCCAACATTTCTTTTTAAATTCACATAGATTTAGTTTAACAGGTAAGTTAAAGTAATTCCTGCGGAGCACTATTTCCACTCAACCGCTAAGCAATGGCCACGGGCAATTCTGACTCCCCTTTGGTCAAATATCACTACAAGAAAAGGGAGTATAAAACACAGAAACTTTTGCAAAGGCGCGTTTCCCGTCGCAAA